ACCGTGCAGGTTTCGTCAGCAAAAACGGAGACGTTTTCTTTGGCACAAACGGCGGATTCTATCGTTTAGATTCAAACGCCAATACTAAGATTGACAGTCTGGGTTATTTCGGACTCTCATCGCTCTACATTGGCAGCCAGAAGATTAAACCTGGTTGCAACGAACTATCAGAAGGAGACCTCAACGACATCAAGGTTCTAGAACTTGCATACGGACGAACCAACATTTCGATTGACATCGATTTTGTTGACTTCTCGTCATTAGGAGACGCCACCATCAGTTACCGACTGAAAGGCCTCAACGACGAATGGACCAAGCTTTCAGACAACCGAACCATCGGTTTCAGTTATATTCCCCATGGGAAATACGAGTTGGAAGTAAAAGCAGAAAAACCAGGATACGAATCTGCAATAAAACAGATTACCCTCGGCATTGAAGTGGAATCTCCGTGGTGGGCCACTTGGTGGTTTATTCTGTTGGCGATGGCTGCCCTGACAGGTATTGCAGTGCTCGTCTACCAGAAACGCGTTCAACTGCTGAAAGAACAAAAGGCCGAATTGAAAGCCCAAGTAGACGAACAGACCATTGTGTTACGCAAGATCCTTGTAGAAAAAGACCGATTGATATCCATCATCGCACACGATTTGAAATCGCCAATCTTCGGTATCGTAGGAGCTTTGGAAAATTGGCAGAACCAATATAAGGAAAGCAATGCCGATATGGGCCAAAACATCATTGAAAAGACTTATGGTTCCGCGGTTATGCTACAAAACACCTTACTGGGACTTGTAGACTGGGCACACGAGCAAGAGAACAAGTTGGAATACCAACCCAAAGAAATAGACATGGTCCAGCTCTCGGCCAACATTTGCAAGCTACAACAAACCAGAGCGAACAACAAAGAACTTAGACTTGTTTCCGACCTACAATACAGCCACTGCTGCTTGGCAGACGAACGCATGCTCAGTACCGTTGTACGCAACCTGGTTTCAAACGCCATTAAGTTCAGCAACCGTGGTGAGGACGTTGTACTGAAAGGTTGGGAAGAGAATGGGAAGACCATCTTCCAAGTTATAGACAAAGGCATTGGTATGACGGAAGAGCAGTTGGCTCAATTCAACAACCAACACTTCTGTGAATCGACTAACGGTACCGAGAACGAGACGGGAACTGGTCTTGGACTTTCGCTCTGCAATGAATATGTAGAAAGAAACAAAGGACAGCTGACCATTGACAGCAAAAAGGGAGAAGGGACAACCATTACCCTATGCCTCCCTATGGGGTCGAAAGAGGTGGAAAGCCAACAGAATGACGAAAACACGCAACAGGCAACCCTCGGCAACGAAATCATGCAAGGCAACACTATTCTAGTTGTTGACGACGATAACCTCATCTGCCAGAACATTGCCACACTGTTGGCACCATATATGCAGGTTATTACGGCCAATAATGGTCAAGAAGCAACCGAGTTGCTAAAAGACAACAACATAGACATTGTATTGAGCGACATGGAAATGCCGGTTATGGATGGTGTGGAACTCTGCAAGCAAGTTAAGGCGAACTACCAGTATGTTCCATTCATCTTCGTTTCGGCAAGAACAGAAGAAGACGATCGACTAACCGGATTGTTAAGCGGAGCCATCGACTACATCAGCAAGCCATTCAGCAGTCAGGAACTGTTATTGAAGATAAGCAACATTCTACAGACCAGACAGAAGCAACAGATTGTTCATTTACAGCACAAGATAAATGTAGCATCGGGCAAAGCAGAGATGCAAACACAACCGAACGAGAGCGAACCGATTAATCCGTTCGTTGAGCGTTTCTTGTCATTATTGGAATCGAGCTACAGCAACAACCTTTTAAACATAGAAATGTTGGCTAAAGAAATGGCAGTCAGCCAGTCGACACTAGGCCGTAAGCTGAAATCGCTAGTAGGAAAGACAGCCATCGACATCTTGACAGAATTCCGTTTGAATAAAGCGAAGGAACTGCTTAAGGAAAATAAAAACACAATGCAGATTGGCGACATTGCCTTCAAAGTAGGATTCAACGACCCGTCATACTTCTCAAAGAAGTTCAAAGATTACTTCGGATATTCCCCTTCCGAAGAAGCATAAACGGCAGTTAACAACAAGTGCTTCACGCTCCTGTAAAACAAGCACTAAGCTTTTTTATCGTCCAATTTTTGTTATATTATTGGCGGTTAATAGATTAAGCCCGTTAATATCTTTAATACATTGGCAACAATCTAGTCTTTCTTCCTTTTCAGCACAAGATTGTATGTCTTTCCGTCTGCCGACATCTTGAAGGGACATCTTAAAATATAGTTTTCGTGTCCAAAGCAGAAGTAGAACATCTTGCCTTCAATCCAATAGGTCCAACTTGCTTTGCTAATTGGCATTCCCGGTTTTAAGTCGGTAATTCTAGATGGAAAATCATTACAGAAATTAATGGTTTTAGCAATACTGCCGCTTGTATTGAGCACAATAGTGGTATCGTTTTCCTTCTTTAAATCAACAATTAGTTGGTCATCCACCATGTGTATTTTCACATGAGCATCAAACAAACGAAGCGTTGTGTCGCTCATCACGTCTATATGTAGTTCGTGGCTAGAGAAAACGCGTTCCAATTCATTCAGTTCGTCTTGGTGCTTTTTGCTCGCCTCCTCCCAAACTTTTAACGCATTTCTCTCGGTAGTTCTGCTCAGTTTTGTTTGGCAGATGGTAATCGGTGAAATATCCCACTCTCCCGATTCTTCATCATGCCAAGTTAGTTCATCCTCCACAAAGTTGATTCCAACGTCGAAAAGTAAGAGTTGTTTGTTGTAATCAGCAGTTTGCTTACCATCAGCAGTATAGAAAAGTCCATATTCAAGTCCCTCCCAACTTGTTCCATTCATTCGGAGGTCCAAAAGTTGGTCGTGCGTATAGGCCAAAGCGTTAAGGCTGAGGAGTGAGAGCGTAAGAACAACGAGTTTCTTTATCATGGGCTGCATCCACTTTAAATTTCACAAACCGAGCTTAATAAACACAAAAAAGAGTTTACTTTAGCATGCTATTCCATTTTTTAGTTGAGGAGCAATAAACCCTTACCTTTTGGTTTGCCACCGTAATATCGAAAGCCCCTTCCTCTAATATCCAGTTGTTGTCAATACCAACAAAAGCCAAATCGTCACCTTTAATGGTCAGCTTAACCGTCTTTGTTTCCCCCGGTTTCAGTTCAACCTTGGTAAAGTTGCGCAAACGTTTAGACTCAGGAACTAACGAAGCCACCAAATCGGTACTGAAAAGAAGTACCGCCTCTTTACCAGCCACTTTACCCGTGTTTTTCACATCCACACTGAAAGTAAGCACATCGTCGGCAGTGAAATTGTTTTTGTCGACCTTCAAGTTCGAGTATTCAAACTGAGTGTAGCTTAAGCCGAAACCAAAAGGCCAATCCTGACTGATTTTCGCATTGTAGTTGTAAGCCCCCGACATGGTACCCACTTCCTCGCTCTGGCGGTAGTCGTATGTAGTCAGCGCATTCACATAAGAAGGATAGGTATATGGCAACTTGCCACTGAAATTAGCCTCACCACTTAAAAGGTTTGCAACAGCATCGCCACCCATATTACCAGGAATAAACATATGGACGATGGCAGCAGCATCGTCTTTAATGCTGTTAATTAGTCGAGGTCGTCCTTCATTCAGCAATAGTACAACAGGTTTGCCGGTTGCCTTCATAGCCTTTACCAAGTCCAGTTGTTCACGCATCAGCGTCAGGTCGCTCAAATTACCCGGAGTTTCGCAATAACTGTTCTCGCCAATACAGCAAATAATAACGTCGGCATTCTTAGCGGCATTCACCGCATTGTCGAAACCAAACAACGTCGTTTCGTAATACTTACCCTTGTGTTTGTACTCAACAGAAGGAACATAGTCCACCTTATCCTTACCAAACTTCAGTTGTAAAGCCTCGACCACAGTATTGTAGTTCTGTGCATAGTCGTCTGCATCCTCACCCTGCCAAGTGTAGCTCCATCCTCCATTCAGGCAACGCATAGCGTTGGCGTTAGGGCCAGTTACCAGATATCGCTTACCTTTAGCCAAAGGCAACAGGCCTCCTTCGTTCTTCAAGAGCACCATACTCTCTTCGGCAGCACGGAGTGCCACATCGGCATATTTCTTACATCCGAAATCGGGATACTTCTTATAGTTCTGTGTAGGGTGCTCGAACAATCCGAGTCGGTACTTCATACGAAGGACACGACGGGCAGCATCGTCAATTCTAGTCATAGGCACACGACCTTCCTTTACCAACTCTTCCAACAATGTGCAGAAGCCATAATCATAAGGTTCCATCGTCATATCAATACCCGCATTTATGGCCAAGCAGATGGCCTCCTTCTTATTCTCAGCCACTTTCTCGCGATTATAGAGGTTATTGATGTCGCCCCAGTCGGTAATGATAACGCCGTCCCAGTTCAATCCTTCTTTCAACCATTGGGTCAGCCACTCATAGCTAGAATGAACCGGCACATAGTTTACAGAACCCGAATTGACCATAACAGAAAGCGCGCCAGCCTCAACGGCCGCTTTAAAAGGTGCGAAATGCTTTTCTATTAATTCTTGAGGAGCAATAACAGAAGGCGTTCTGTCCTTACCACTAACCGGATTACCATATCCCAAATAATGTTTCAAACAGGTAGCCACATGGTTTTGGTCCACCTTATTTATATTGGTACCCTGGAAACCAACAACGGCATTCTTACCCATTTCGGCAGACAGGTAGCAGTCCTCGCCATAGCCTTCCCATACACGAGGCCATAACTGGTTTCGAGCCAAATCGAGCACTGGGCTGAAAGTCCAAGGCACACTACCCGCACGAGTTTCGTATGCACATATTTCGGCAGCCCTGTAAGCCAATTCGCGATTGAACGAAGCTCCTATATTGATATTTTGAGGGAATAACGTACCTCCAGTAGTATAGGTAGTGCCGTGGTTCTGATCCAGACCAAATATACAAGGAATACCCAGTTCCTTCATCGACTTCTTCTGCACCACCTCCATATAACGTTGCCAACTAGCAGGTGTTTGCGGCTGACGACGAGGAACGTTCAGCAAAGAACCCACCTTATAAATTCGTATAAGGGTATCGAGTTTGCCTTCGTTAATCACAGGAGCCTGATTGGGGACATCTTGCACTACAAGATCGAGTACCATTTCGGTCATCTGGCCTATTTTTTCCTGCAAAGTCATACGCTGAAGCAGCTTATCGATTTGCTGTTCCATTTGCGGATCTTGACTTCTATTGACCGCCGTAGATGTATTTTGCGCCAAGCCGAATTGGGCAAAGCAAGCGGACATTACCAATAACCTTTTAATTTTCATTACTTTGTTAGTGTAAAGCTGTTATAAACGTTATTTGCGCTTTTGCAAATATACAAAAATTAGTAAGCTATACCTAACAAAACAGCCAATAGCACAACAGATACCCCCCTTCTGCAACACAACAACAGCTATAGAGCCTTTCTACAAAAAAGCCTCTAAAAATTTGCCTTTGTCAACTAAAACGGCTATATTTCCTATATAAACAAACTCAATTTCAACAAAAGCAGGCTACAGGAATTAGAATAGAAACGAATAGGGAATTTTTTCCTTCAACAAGGCGCTTATCATGGAACAAAAACGAAAAAATGTTACAACAAGATGTAACATAAAAACAGGCGATCCATTTTTGACTAATTTTTCGCATTCGTTGACAATAAATTTCACAAAAGGATTCTAGTTACCCCTTACTTTTGTTTAACAACAATAAACTACACTAGACCATGAAACAAAGACTACACAAATTGATTATGATGGCTGCAGCCATATGCGGGCTTCTAAATGCGACAGAAGTTTCAGCAAAATTCGGCTGCACCCCCGACCTACACGTAGACGGACGATTCCTTGCCGACCCTGCAGGCAACAAAGTAAACCTACACGGTGTAATGGACACCCCAAGCATGTGGTTTAACGGCAACCGCTGGACAGGCGGCTACAATGAAAATGGAGCAAAGAATGCATGTGCCTACTTTAATCAAATGTTTGACGCCATAACCGATACCGCACAGGGCTCGTGGTGTAACATTTTCCGTTTACACCTTGAACCAGCCTGGCTGAGAAAAGACGGCGTAAACAGTTCAGACGAAAGCGACTTGGCTACCACCTTCGACGAAAACAAGTTGAAGAAGTATATGCCTATCCTATATAACAAGATTGCACAATCGGCTAAAGACCACGGCATGTATGTGGTTATGGCAGTGGTATCAACGCAGAGTACTCAGGTAAATGGCGAATACCAGAAATACCTTATGAAGGTGTGGGACATTGTAACCAAAGACGAATTCGTCATGTCAAACCAAGGATGGCTATCTATTGAGTTGGCCAACGAACCTGTTACCGTTCTAGACGCTAACGGCCAGGACAACGAATATGCCCTCTACAATTTCTTCCAACCCATTGTAGACCTCATTCGCAAGAACGGATTCACAGGCATCATTTGGGTACCAGGTAGCGGCTACCAGTCAAACTACCGCAATTACGGCAAACATCCTATTAATGGCACAAACATCGGCTACGCTGTCCACGACTACCCTGGTTGGTACAACACCAGCGACAAGAGCTATGACCACAACAACGCCATAAAGAGTTTCCAGGAAGCAGTGCCTGTATGGAAGACCAACCCTATCTTCGTTAGCGAAATTGACTGGAGTCCCGAACAACCCGGAGCTGGCAAGTACAACGAGTTCGGCCAGTGGGTTCCTTCTAACTACGGCACATGGGGCACAGCCAGCACCTCTAAATGGGGTTTGGCAGCGAAAGCCGCATTCGACGCTTGCGGAAACGTGAGTATGACACTCACACACCCTAGCGACTACTACGACATTGACGTTTACATGAAGACCGGTAAATTCCAGCCTGCCTTCAAAGGCATTACCGAAGCTTGCGGTGAAGCCTGTGTTAAATGGTTTGCCGACTATGCGAAAGCTGGCAACCTTCCTAGCTGCGATGGTACTGCTTCTGGTCCACAAGAACCATTCAACGGCGAAGCCACTGCCCTTCCAGGGAAAATAGAAGCCGAAGAATATGACAAGGGCGGTGAAGGCAAGGGCTACCACGATAGCGATGCCAAGAACGAAGGCGGCGAATTCCGCAAAGACGGTGTCGACATCAAGAAAAACGACGCAGGCAACTATTCATTAGGATGGTTGGCCGAAGGCGAATGGTTGGCCTATACCGTAAATATTGCAGAAAGCGCTAAATACCACTGGAGCATAAATGTAGCAACCGAACAGGAAGGCACACAGTTCCACTTCCAGCTCGACGGTAAAGACATTACAAAGGCCACCGAGATTCCTACAACTGGCACATGGGCAGACTACATTGAAGTAAAGGGTGAAGTCGACCTACCTGCAGGCGAACACGTATTGACATTTGTAGTTGACAATCCGTATTTCGACCTCGACTGGATTAAGTTCACGCTTGAACAGGAACCATTCAGCGGCACACCTATTTCACTTCCTGGTAAAATTGAAGCGGAAGACTTCGACCTTGGTGGCGAAGGCTTGGCTTACCACGACAGCGACAAGAAAAACGAAGGCGGTGAATACCGCGAAACTGCTGTCGACATTAAGAAGAACGATGCTGGCAACTACTCTCTCGGCTGGTTGGCCAAAGGTGAATGGTTGTCTTACACCGTCAACATTGAGGAAGAAGGCGATTACGAATGGAGCGTGAATGTTGCAACCGAACAGGATGGCACACAATTCCACTTGCAACTCGATGGCGACGACATTACTCCTGTAACCGAGATACCAACAACCGGAACCTGGACAGAATACACACAGGTGAAGGGTGAAGTTGCACTTCCTGCAGGCGAGCACATCATCACTTTCGTAGTTGACAATCCGTACTTCGACCTCGATTGGATTTCGTTCGAAGCCATAAAGAAAGATTCGGAAGAAGTTACCGGCACACCTATTGTAGAAAGCATTGCTACTGACACTTACACCATCTACTCAACCCTAGGTTTGGTTGTTGGCGAAGTGGAAGCTGCAGCAATTAACGACATACAATTACAGCAGGGCATCTACATCTTGAAGTCAAAATCGACCAACAAGACTAGACGTCACATTGTACGATAAGTTTTTTCATAATAATAGTTTTAGTTTAGAACGGGGCAGACAAAAATTGTCTGTCCTGTTTTTTATAGAGAGGGAATAATGATTAAATTTGCACTAGTTAAAATTCCTATAGATGAAAAATGTAATTATTAGAAGTTGTGCTTTGGTTTCTAGCATACTCTTTTCATGCATGAACATTAATGCAATGAAAGGCACAGGCAGTTTGGAAGATCCCTACCTTATTGAAAATAAAGAAGATTTCAAAACGTATTTTAGTGCAAAATCAATTGATAGTCACGCAAAACTGATGAACGACATCGTGCTGAACGAAAATGTTCTTGACGAAAATTATCAGCTTAACGAAGGGACCTACGAGCAATGGAACAGCCAATGTGAGCTTCATGCCACATTCGACGGCCAAAACCACAGTGTTTCAGGACTGTACATGTACACCAACAGCACCAGCAATTACTCTAAAAATCACTATTGGGGACTTTTTACCGAAATTGCAGAAGATGGTACAGTAAAGAACCTAACCCTTAAAGACACTTATTTGAATTGTGCAGACACAGACCCTAGCAGAAATCATATAGGAGGCATCTGTGCCCATAACAGCGGTACTATTGAGAACTGCCATTTCGATGGCTACATTTTCGACAAGTATATAGATGAATTTGACACCAACGACAGAAGTTATGTAGGTGGTATTTGTGCGAAAATGACAGGCGGTTCCATTTCAGGCTGTTCAGCCAAAGGCTCATTAAATGGCTTGAACCGTACGGGCGGTATTATCGGTTTTTATGAAGGAACAGCCCCAATAACCAATTGTACGAATTACGCCCACATATACGGCAAAAGGGAGGCCGGTGGTATTGTAGGAGCAACCGACATGTCCAATGAAGTAAATATCAACCAATGTGACAACCATGGTGTTGTGGAATCTGACCACAATGCAGGTGGCGTTGTGGCATGGGCAAAAGCTAGTGTTTCAAATTGCAAGAACCTAGGAACGGTAAGAGGGCAAGACTATACAGGCGGTATTGCTGGCTATATATACAATGCTATCGACAACTGCGTAAACGAAGGTGATGTAACAAATCTATATACCGAAAAAAAACGCTTTCTATACCACTGCTGGTGTTGTGGGAAGCTGTAAAACTGTAACGGAATGTGTTAACAAAGGCAACGTCAGCTCACTAACCAAATGTGGCGGAGTTGCAGGCATCAGCAAAGACATCACTAAATGCCACAATGAAGGTATTGTAACTGGCGAGGATAACATTGGCGGTGTGGCCTATTCTACCGAACAAATTTCCGACTGTTACAACATCGGTACCGTAAAAGCCACAGGAGGCAATATAGCAGGCGTTTGTGCGAATGTAAGCTCTTCCACGATCAATGCTCAAATAATCCATTGTTATAACAACGGAACGGTATCGGGAAATAACCATGTTGCGGGTATTGTAGGTACTGCATCTGGCACCGTAACCCAATGTTTCAATACCGGAGACATTACAGCTACAGACAATAACGCGGCTGGTATTATTGCAGGTAATGTTAGTTTAAAAATCTCCTTTTGTTACAACACAGGTACAATTACAGGAGCTAGCAATGTTTGTGGTTTAAATGCTGCTGGCGGAGCCTATAAATGTTATAATTTGGGACAGGTCATCGGTGAGGAAAACGTAAGACCGATTGCTCCAGACAACACTATGCAAATGAATTCAAGTAACTGCTACTATAACAAGGAGAAGTGCATACTTGAAAAGGATTATGCAGGAGCATTAACTACAGAACAAATCCTCGACATACAGCACCTGATGCCACTGCTCGACACCGATGTCTGGTACATGTACGAAGACCAAGAAGACAAAGCCTACTATCCGAACCTTCGTTACTACAAGGGAATAATTGACGGTCCTGTTGAAAAAGACATCACTTTCGACGAGAACGGATTCTGTAAAGAATATAAGTTCATCTACCAGCCCGCGCCAATTACAGAAGACGGTGTAGTGGAGATTTCAAACGGAGGCCAACTTATGTGGTACATGGAGAAGGTCAATTTCGACGAACAAAAATCACTAAGTGCCGTATTGCTAGAAGATGTCACCATCAACGCCGATATGGACCAGTTTGATTTTGAAAAAATCGTCGACACGACCTATGCTATTACTAAAGTTTTTTACCGTTGGGTTCCCCTTGGCACCATAAAGAATGGGTTGGAATGGAACCACTTTAGTGGCACATTCGACGGGCAAGACCACACCATTAACGGACTCATCTGCAATGGTCTGTATCTACAACAAGGAAAATTCATACCAGGTATACACTACCCAGAAATTGGATTCGTTGGCTATTTGGAAGAAGATGGCGTCATAAAGAATTTAAAAATCAACAACTCCTATTTTCAAGGTAATGAAAAAGAGCAACACCAACCTATAGGAGCACTTTGTGCAGAAAATCACGGACTCATATCAAGATGTAGTGTAGATAACACACGCATAGCCTCGGGGAACCTGTTGGGAGGTATCTGTAGTCAGAACTACGGGACCATTAAAAACAGCGGAACTAATAAAGGATGTTTTATACACGACATCGATGGCATTCTAGCCTTAGCAGAAATTGGTGGTTTAGTACACACAAATCACGGTACTGGTATTCTTTCTGAATGTAATTCAAACGGGGTAATCAACTCCAAGAACGGCGTAGGTGGTATTGTTTACGACAATTACGGGTTACTAAGCTATTGCAAGAATTTTGCAGAAATCAACGCCACATCAAACGTTGGAGGTATCTGTTGCAATAACAATGTGACCTACGAAGGAACAATCGGCAAACTGAACCATTGCGTGAATTTTTCAAGTAAGCTAGCAAGCGAAAGATACAGTGTAGCGGGAGTCTGCTGCTTCAACAAAAATTACAACGACATTTATGCAGAAATCGGCAACTGCAACAATCTTGGATTTATAGAAGGAAAAGAAATTGCAGGTATCTGTTGGGAAAACAACGGAATGGTTAAAGGCTGTTTGAACTACGGAGACCTAACTTCAACAGAAGGTCCTGTTGGCGGTATTGTTTCTAATAACTACAGAACCGTAAAAACATCGTTGAACCATGGCAACATTACCAGTAAGAAAGACTATGTTGGTGGAATTGTAGGCAAATGCAATTCATTTTTCAACGATATCAACATTTCACTATGTGTGAACAACGGCGTAATTATTGGTAACAAGAACGTTGGTGGCATTGTAGGTTTTGGCGATTACGTTAAGGAGACTGAAAAAGGCTCCAATGTGAACAACTGCATCAACACCAGCACAATAGCAGGTAACGATAATGTAGGCGGCATTTGCGGAAACAGTTTCATAACAGAAAAATGCTTCGCTTATGGTCCTGTTAAAGGTCTGGGAACATTTGTAGGATGCATCATCGGTCATAGTTACGCAAATGGTTTCTTACGCCACTGCTATGTCAACCTAGACTCTTGCATAACCAAATTAGACGTCATTATTAATCCAAACAACCCAATTATCGACCTTCCTGGTGTATACGACATTACCTATGTAAAATCGTCTGACGCACAAGGTTCAGGAGTGAAGAGCAGTATGGGGAATCTTGATTTTGACAACACATGGGTTGCAGCAGAAAACGGCTACCCTACGCTTAAAGCATTTAAAAATCTAGAGGATGGTGGCTTTATTGAAGATGTTGATAAATCAGAATCAGATGCAGATCCTGTAATTGAGAACGATGGCGTACTCATCTATACAAACGAGGGTACAGCCTACGTCATTTCTCCATCAGCATTCAGTGCTTATCTTTACAACATAAATGGTTTAATCCTTAAAGAAGTAACCATTACTGAAGGAGTCAATTCAATTAGCGGTCTTCATAGAGGGGTGTACTTCTTGGGCAACCGGAAGTTCATTATTAAATAAAGCACACTGATTTATAGAAAAAAAGGGATTACTCCTTACAATAGGAGCAATCCCTTTTTTATTACAATCAATCATAATTCAATTTCAGACTCAACAGACAACTAATTGAATTCATAAAATAACAAATGCGAACACGACACAAGCATAAGAGAAAACCTATATTTTAATAGTCACTAATTATAGCTATGTTTGTAGATAAACAAACAACATACAGAAATTATGGATAAAACAAACGAACAACAGCTCAAACCCGTCTGCCCACATAACACAACCATCGACTGCCCCTGTCCGAAAGACTGTCCACGCCATGGCAAGTGTTGTAGCTGTGTTGCCCACCATCGCGAGCACGGCAACCTACCCAAATGCTTAAGAGACTTAGAGAAGAAAGAATAAGCATAAACCATCTTACAATAAAAAAGCGGACCGCAAAAGTCCGCTTTATTTTTTTTCAGGAAATCATATCGTTTAAAAAGGAGCCGCATTCGGATCGCCAGAAGGAGATGCGAACGGATCCATATCGGCAGGCATAGGAGGCAATGGTTCGTCAGACGCTTCCGCAATAAAGTCTGTGTTCATACGCGACTCACTTTCTATTGTACCAGAAAGGTCGTCGGAAATATTCATGAACTTAGCCAACTCACTCTTGAAGCGCAATCGGACTGTATCGGTAGCACCATTACGGTGTTTAGCAATAATAATTTCAGCCAAACCCACCAACGAATTACCTTGAGCGTCTTGAGTGATTTTGTAATACTCAGGACGGTGAATGAACAATACCATGTCGGCGTCTTGCTCAATGGCTCCAGATTCACGGAGGTCGGCCAACTGAGGGCGTTTATCGTCACCCGTACGTCCTTCCACACCACGGTTCAACTGGGAAAGTGCGATGATAGGGATATTCAACTCCTTCGCCATCTGCTTTAACGAACGAGAGATCATAGAGACTTCCTGTTCACGGCTACCATAGTTCATACCGCTGGCATTCATCAGCTGCAAGTAGTCAATAATGATGCAACGCACGTTGTGGTCTTTCACCAAACGGCGGGCCTTTGTATTGAATTCAAAAATAGAAAGAGACGGAGTATCGTCAAGATAAATAGGTTTGTCGTAAAGCGATTTTGCACGCTGGTTCAACTGCTCCCACTCATATTGTTCCAACTTACCAGTCTTGATTTTTTCGCCAGGCAACTCGGTAGCGTTCACCAACAAACGGTTTACCAACTGCAGGCTCGACATTTCAAGAGAGAACAAAGCCACAGGGTTACCCAAGTCAGCCATATTTTTCGCCATAGAAAGCACAAAGGCAGTTTTACCCATGGCCGGACGGGCTGCAATAATAATCAAGTCGCTCAACTGCCAACCACTGGTAATTTTATCGAGGTCGTTGAAGCCGGTAGGTACACCACTCATACCTTCCTTCTTGCTGGCTTCCTGAATTTTGTAGATAGCCTGCGAAACCAACGGGTCAATCTGTTGGTAGTCGCGCTTCATGTTGCGTTGCGATATTTCGAACAATTTACCCTCAGCCTGTTGCATTAGCGCCTCAATATCAGACTCGGCATCGTAGGCCTTACTTTCAATTTCTGTAGCGAAATGAATAAGTTCACGCGCCAAGTGCTTGTTGGCCAAAACCGTAGCGTGGTATCCCACATTGGCAGAAGAGTTCACCTTCATAGAAAGGTCAACGACGTAGAAGTCGCCACCCACATCTTCCAAATGGCCTTCCGCCCTTAGCTGTTCAGTCACCGTCAACATATCAATCGGTTCCTGTTTAGCCGCCAAATTAGCAATGGCTTCGTAAACGAAACGGTTTTTCTGACTATAGAAACATTCAGGTTTCAGAATATCGCATACGCGAGCAAATGCTCCAGTATCAATCAACAAAGCACCCAACACCGCCTCTTCAAACTTGAGGTCGTGTGGCGGCATTTTACCATACTCACTCAAAACAGGAGTATTGGCAGAAGTTTCTGATTTTCTAGAGCGGCGTGATCCACCTTTTGGTTTTATAGTTTCCATTTATCTTCCATTTCTTAATTATAATACAAAGATAAGATTAAAACCTATCTTGTTGAAATAAAAATTGAGTGTATGTTTTAACACACCTTCCACGGCTTTAATATCGGCCTAAATTTCATCAAATTAAAAAAACAGAGTTCACACTAAAAAAAAATCAACTGCATACACATAGTCTGGCACAGTGTTTGATATAGCATAAACAAACAAAACACAACATTTATTTATGAATAAAATTATTTATACACTTATTTCAGCAGCAACATTAAGTTTGACATGTTGTACTGACGATTACACAGAAGACGTAAAGAATGAAAGCAAAAACGAATTAAAGGCTGCAGCAGCTCCGACCGACGCATCATGGAGTACATGGCCAGTTGGCAGAACCATCACCTATTCATTAAGAGGAGCCGATGCCATAGCCGCATACTCGTTCAAACATGCTTGCTACAACTGGATGGTTTATGCAAATGTTCGTTTCGAAGAAGCGCCTTGGAGCAAGGCCGACGTCAGACTCGATGTTGAAAAATGGGAAATAGGTAAATCATACGCAAAGGTCGGCTACAGCAACCAAACCTATTCACACCTGCCATCAGGCACATTATACACGAATGGCTTTACTGCCAACGGCATATTCGCAAAAAGAGAAAACCTACATACAGTAGGTCATATTCTAGGTTTATTAGACGGTTACCAAGCACCAAACTTCCCTTATGCATATAACGAGGATTATGCCATCAGAGATCATTACAACACCTTCTGCTGCGACAACTGGGAGCAGGCAAAGCGTTTGTTCATGAGTCGCTATAAACCAGTAGAATATGGCATAAAGGTAGAATATGGTCCATACGATCCATACTCAGTCATGACCGACAAAGTACCAGAGAACTACTGTTATAACAAAGAGAACATTAAGTTAAACTACGCTCTTTCTTCACAAGATAAACAATTCATCGCCAAGCTTTACCCTTACGCCGACAACCGAATCCCATTCTTCTACGGAACCGATGCAAAAGGAACCGGCATTATAGGTCAGTTTGAACATTTCGACAACACGACAACCATTGAAGGAGTTGCAGGCTATGTTTATAAGACACAGAAACCCGGAACAGTGCCACTCTATCGTTACGAGAATGCAACAGGAAGACCAAAGTTCTCCACAAAGACAGTTACCGGCTACGACAAGAAGACAATCATAGCATATGTTTATGACAAGCCTGCCAATGGCAGATCTACAATTTACGCCTATACAAATCGTGCATTAAGCTATCGAGGCTGTACTGTTAAAGACAACCTTAATGGTAAAATTCCGTTGGGCATCAGCTGCTACATCGAGCAATATTAATTTGTAACACAATAAAAGAGGGTATATCAAAATGCATCATTTGTGATATACCCTCTTTTTCTATGAGTTATACTAATATATTTATGATATCACCATCCACTCTGTAAGGTTTCTCTCCTTTGTACTGAAGTTGGCTCCAATCTTCACCACAGCCTTTCCTGGAACTGAAATCTTTTTCGCATATTTCTTTTCGTCTATTTGCGACAATGCGGTTTCTGCAGACTCATCACGTTTGCATTCTATGATGTATGCCATTTTATTAGTTTCGAAGAATACGTCGATACGGCCACCCAACACAGGATGTTCAACCGAAACATTGTGACCAGTAGCTCGAATCATTAAATAAAGCAGATTACGGAAGTTGGCCTCAATCAGTTTGACGTCATTACTTTCAAATGGAATTTGGCTCATTATGAATTGGATCTGAGCCATAAATGCATCCACGTCATCGCTACGGAGAATCTGTTTCAAATTATAGATGTCAGTATCCCATTCGTTCATAGATTTGCCAGCAAACTCTACCGCTAAATAACTGACAAAACCATCAGCAACCTCATCATTGGGAAAACCTAACTTATAGATGCCATCTTCGTAACTTTTAATTGTCAAATATCCACTCTGATAAAGTGCGGCCACTATATTCTCCTCGCCATTGCCAAACGACGCCATACCCTCTGCTGTTGACACGACATCCTCATTGAAGGAAGTCAGGTCATAACTTTTCTTTTTTAATATCTTCGCCAAATAAGTCGGAGTACCAGTTGCGAACCATGAATTTGACAAATTTCTGGATTTCAAAGCATTGAGCAGACTAAATGGATTATAGAGATCCATTGATTTTGTGGAGAAATGATAGCCATCATATTTCTTTTTGAGCAATCCATACATCTCTTCCAAAGTGACATTCTCCTCCTCAGCAAAGTCCTTGATTTCAGCATCAAAATATGAGTGGAGCTCATTTTCTGAAATACCACAGATAGATGCATATTTCTTATTCATGGAAATATCTTCAAGATTATTTGCCGCACTGAAGATTCCCAATTTTACATAACGAGTGACGCCAGTCAAGAAGGTGAATTTGATAAGACTGTCCCCTCTTTTGAAAATACCATATAAGCTTTGAAGAATAGCCCTATTACGGTCTTGAATTATAGTCAATCCAATGGCATCAGTAAGAGGCTTGTCATACTCATCAACAAGAATGACTACTTTATTACCAGTTTTTTCTTTAGCGCGGGAAATCAGGCCATAAAAACGATCTCCAATTTCTTTTTCACTTTCAGCCCTACCATATTTAAGTTCCCATTGCGTCAAAACAGCATCTAATCTGTTTTGCAATGCAGGTTCCTTAGTGTAGTCACCTCCAGAAAAATCGATATGAAAAACAGGATATTCTATCCATTCCGTCTCCAAAGAATCAATAGCAAGACCTTTGAAAAGTTCCTTTTTACCGAGGAAATAGGACTCCAATGTTGTGGTAAGCAAACTTTTGCCGAAACGACGCGGACGGCTAAGTAAATAATATTTTCCCTCGTCCACCAATTTATACACAAGATCAGTTTTGTCTACATAGACATAATCTCCTTGTATTATCTCTTCAAATGTTTGTATACCTATTGGGAATTTCATCGGCAAACAC